CAGATTTGAAGATGATGTAATTGTGAACTTTGAATTCAGATTACAAGGTATGTGAGTGAGGCAACCTTTAGCATTTCCTGAAGTTTCTATTTTTAAGTTGGTATGCAGGATGCTACTTTAACATAGGTTTTGCCCTTTAATTGTGAAGGATTTGGGGCTGCCAGCTCCTTGGCTGACAGTGGAACTAATGGGGCGTGTGCTGACGCATAGTTCAGGAAGACAGTGAATTACTAGGTGTCTCATACCTAAAGCCTCGTGTTTTCCCTGCTTGTCTGTCAGAAACTGATGGGCATGCAAGCAGGCAGTGTTTTTTCCATGACAGCCTGCCTGGAGTGTCGTCCACTTCGAGAAAATATTGCTGATTAAAGGAGAAAGGTGGCTGAGCCTGGTGTCAGCAGGGCTGGCTGCTGACATGGAACCTGGTGCCTGATGGATGCTGAGTGCCTGGTACCCATCTGAATGTGGGACTCTATAAACTAAATCAGGAGCCGAGACTGTCACTTAGTGCATTGCAGCTCCGCTCACCTAGCTGCCAGCTGGCAAGTTTTTCAGTTTGTAAGACCTCATTCCGAACTTGATTTCTGCGAGGAGTACTGTTAGACGAAGATGCATGCATAGCAAAGGCAGCCCTGTTGACTTGTTTGTCATTGGTGGCTTTGCATAATTTGCCATCCTGTTGGTCACTCTTCTGTTGTGTCTGGATGTGGGTCCTGTACAGTGCTGGGTGCAGTGTATGTGTGGGAAACAAATGCTTAGTATTATCCTACAGGGGTTAGCCCTAAAATGTGTCTGTGTATGTCCTGGTGAGAAGGCTCAGCCAGGTGGAAGCCAGAGTTTCTCAGGGGTGGGCAGGATGTATCTTTTTATTTCAGCAGCCAGAGCTTAGGATGTGGGCAACTGTGGGCGTGGCTGTGGGTGGGCATTCAGGACCCAGGACAGGACGCCTGCTTAAGCAGCTGTGTACATAAACATTCGGGTTTGACAGGTCTACACTCTTTATAGCTAGTTTTCTGTTTTTCACCAGAATGTGGCTCTTTTCTTATTTCTCTCTAGAAACAACACACAGGGCTTGTTCAACACAGGCTGTCTTACTTGTGGCAAGATTCCTGACAAAAGAAACTTAAGGAAGGAAAGGCCTGGCTTTTCACACTTTCAGGGTCCATCATGGTGGGAAGTCATGGCCATAAGAGCTTGAGGCAGGTGGTTACATGGCATCTGCAGTCCAGAAGCAGAGAGAGATGACTGCTGTGCTCACCTCGCTTCTCTTATTATCCTGTCCAGGACATCAGCCTATTGAATGTGCTGCCTACACTTAGGGTGGTCTTCCCACCTCAACTAACCTCATCTAGAAGCTCCCTGGGCCATGCCCAGAGGTTTGTCTCTTAGGTGACTGTCAAGTTGACAATCAATACTGTCACACAGGTCCTGGTGAAGTTTGGACTCCAGAAGCCAGGATGGCAGCCATTGATCCTGTCTGGCTTGGCTCTCCAAGAGCTTTGTCAGTCTCTGGTATAACACTGACTTCTTATTGGCACTATGGTGACTCTGCATGCCCAGATGCATTCTGCCTTGTGCCATTTGGTGGGTGGGACAGCTCTGAGATCTCCTACCTTGGGAGACCTCAGGAATGCTTAGAGCTCCCTTCTCTGGGCCCTGGGGCCAGGTGCAATGGAATTGGCTCATGTGGCCAATCTGCCCAGGCCTTGTCCTCAAAGAGGACAGAGGAGGGCCAGCAGTACCCACAAGCTTCCTGCAGTTTAAGGAGCCCTGAAGGTGGTGGGGGCCATGCTGGCTTGGAGCCACACCTGCTGTCCTGGGGCCGGCAGGCTTCTGACCCCAGCTGTATCAATGCTCTGTCCATGCATAGCTAACACACCTTTTCTCTTGCTTACCTGAGCCTTGGCCTCGGGAAGTGAATGAGCAGTGGCTGGGAGAGTTTTCCACATTATGTTCCAAAGTTTTGTGAATATATTGAATGAATGACTCAGACTTAGCTTGGCACCCACTCCCACACCTCCCATGCTATTTTCACTAGCATCCATCTGGCCCCACAGACTTCAATGCTCCCATGCCCTTGAGTCTCTGAGTTCTTCACGGGACCCGAGATGTGATCCTGTTTGTATCCCCAGTACTCAATACCCTCCAGCTGTAAGGCAGGTACTGTAGAAACCTCCATCGTGAATGAAAACATACGTGGCCTGCATGCCATGTTTCCTGTGCTCCATGTAACTCTGGAAATAACGAAGCTTGCTATTTACAAGGTGAGCACAGAATGCAGATCTGATTCTGTTACCTAGGCGATGTACTTACACGTGGTGGGCTTCTGTAATGTTGCTCTTATTTCCTTCATGCTTGTCTAACTTCTACCTCCCCTTTTAAAGGTCTCTTCTTGCCTTCACTCAGCATTGGTGATTCTAGGGTTTTCTTCTCGGGGGTCCCTTTTGTTTTGGAGATGGGTCTCATGAACTTGCTATGTAGATCAGGATGACCTTGAACTTCTGATCCTTCTGCCTTTCGCTCCTGAATGATGGGATTAGAGGCATGTGTTTCCATGCCTGTTTATATGGTGCTGGGGATTGAATCCAGGGCTTCATGAATGCTTGTAAGGGCTCTTCCAGCTGAGCTGCATCCTGCTGCCCGTCTTGGTCCTTTTGTGTCTCACACTCATATTCTTTCTGGTGGGTGCCGTACATCTCCTGACTTCATCAGGTATGTTCTTATGACATCTACACCTATCTTTCTGGGCCTGACCACTGACTACCTGCTACTGGATGGTCCAGCTGTATCCCAAATTCATGCCTACCCTTTTGGGTTCCCCATCGACTAAGCCACCTAAAAAGTAAAAACCAGCATCTCCCTAGATGCCTTTGTTCTCAGCGTCTTCTCACTGTGCGGAGGGGATCAGTGGGGCCCACCTCCTCAAACTCTGCCATAGCTACCCTTTTTGTCCTGTTCCTCCATTCTGTAAACATCCAGGTCCTCACACCTCATATCTGCAGTGTTACTGAGACTCTCTGACCTGTCTTTCTGCCCAGGTCTTGCCCTCCTCACATTCCTGCATTCCAGGCCCTTCTCCCTCCCTGTGCCACTCTCTGCTTGCTTCAGACACACTCAACACGTTCCCTGATTGACTTCAGCTCTTCTACCATTTGGCTTTTCTTAGCTACTTCCCACGCAAGGAATCTCCTCTTCTTGCCTACTGTGTCTTATATCCTGCATATTTAAGACACACAAACATCCCTCAGATTTAAAGCTTTTATTTCAAGTGTCTTCTTTTTACAAGGTCTTTTAAAAAAGTATTTTATTTATTATTTTTATTTTATGTGTATGAGTGTATTGCCTGTATGTATGTGAGTGTACCCATGTTGTGCAATGGTGAGGAGGTCAGAAGAGGGCATTGGATTCCCCTGGAACTGCAGTTAAGGATAGTTCATAGCCGCCATGTGGGTGCTGGGAAATGAACCCGGGTCCTCTACAAAAGCAGTCAGTGCTCTTAACCGCTGAGCCATCTCTCCAGCCCCATTACAAGGTCTTTTAAGGCCCTTGGAGAATGAACTTTCTTCCCAAGCTTCCTCAGCCCCATGGAGGCTTCTTTTATTATCTTTGTTAAACTCACGTCTGCCTCAGTCTCTCTAAACAGAGACGTCTTCCCAGAAACAGACCTTAGCAATATTTAACTTATCTCTGTACCTCCAGCACCTCCCACGATCCCTAGGGAAATTGCTGGTGTTCAAAAAGCCTCATGAATGGATGGATAGAGCCATGCATTGATGCTGTAACCAAGAGAATAGGGTTGTTTTCCTTTCGTGAATGATTTAGTTGGTCTTGCTTCCCACAATGGGGTGTACATATCAGAGGACACTGTAGTGGAGGAACCATGGTTGATGATTTTGGTTTAGGGTTTCATCTTATTTATTCTGCAGTCTGCCTGCTGGTGAGGGGACCTGAGAGAGGCAAGTCCAGGATCTCACCTTTGTTGCCCAGGGACTGCTCCTGCCTCTTTGATGACCACTATCTCACCCAGGCTAGTGCAAGCTGTAGTAACATTAGCTGGAGTTTGACTTGGAATATCTGACCCTTTTAGGGTGGTATTAGGTGTTGGAAGAGGTAAAGAGAAGAAGAAAGTGGAACTCGGATTTCTGTAGACCATGAAGATGTCTTCAGTGTGATTCAAGTGCTAGTGTTCTTCCCGACCGTACCTGTCGGTTCTCTAGAAAAGCATCTTGAGGCTCCGCTTTTTTCTTGATCATGCTGGACAGTTTCTTTGTCAGAAAGTTTGTTTGGGACTCAACCTACTCAGGCTGTCTTCTTGTAGTTTCCTGGGATCTGCACCATCTGGTTTTTCCTAGCTGAGGGGGCAGTCTATCAAATCCAGAATTGGAAGAAAAAGCTGTGTTATGTTTTCGTAGAGGCTGGTCTCTCCATCTCTCGTGAATTTGTTAACTTGAAAATGAGTGGAGAGAAATCCATTTTCTACTAATGCTATTTCTTTACCTTTACTTGGAAGCTGACAATGATTTGCTCTTAGGATGGAATTGAAGTTGACACCAGGAAAAGAATCACACTTGGAAGTGAGCATATTGTCAGTGTGTATGGAATGACATTGGTTTTTCCAAGATATCCCTGGCAAAGTTTGCCCTCACTTAGCCAAAAATAAGGAGCTGTCAACAAAGGTCATTGCTTTTGGATTACTGGTCATAATTGAGTTAGGAAGCAGTTTACATTTCAGTGGGAAAGGTGACGAGGGAGGTAAGCTGTTATTACGATCGGTCTCTTGTTCGGAAGTGACCAGAGTTGCTACTGTCACAGTTGGCGGGGTCCTGATCTGTGGCCGCGTGCACCAGCTGTGTGCATATCAGAATTTTGGCTTCTTTAAGGACTGCTACTTGAGGTCTGCAGCTGTTTCCTTCTTGATTTCTCTTTCTGAGTCTTTAAGAAGTCACCTCTCACTACTCACCAAAAATGGACATACCCATGGGTCTTTGTCACTTTCCCTGCAGATTTCAACAGTGTCCCGGACATCACAACAGGCCTGAAAAGGAGTCAGACAGACGGCACTCTGGATCAGGTGTCGCACAGGGAGAAGCTGGAGCAGACGTTCCGGGTAAGATGCTGGCCTACCACAAACCAAGAGCCAGGCAGGCAAGGGCTAATTTTCGCCCTTGCCTGTGGCTCTCCCCCCCCCCCTCTCTCTCTCTCTTGGTGGTGGTGGTGGTGTGTGTGTGTGTGGCGGCGGTGGTGATGGGGTGTGCGTGTGGGGGGGTGGTATGTGTGCTTGAGTGTACTTAACCAGGCATGTATGTGGAGGCCAGAGGTTGACACTGGATGTCTTCCTCTATTACTCTTTTTGAGACAAAGTCTCTGAGCCTGGAACTTGTATTCAACTAATTGGCTGATCCGTGAGCCCCAGGGATCCTCCTGTTTCTGCCTCCCCAGCCCTGGGGTTACAAACATGTGCTGCCATGCCTGGCTTTTATGTGGGTTCTGGGGATCATGTTGAAGTCCTCATGCTCACCTGGCAAACACTTTATCCACTGAGCCGTCTCCCTAGTACTGTTTATTCCTCTGAAGTGAGCACTAATGGGAACTATTTACACAGGCCTGACTTTGAGCACACCATCAAAGAGCCTGGCAGATGGGTCATCCTCTGTCAAGAAGGCATAACAATTTTGGTAAGGAGGTCCTGAGCTTGGGGATCTCGAAAGTCATGTTCAGTTATTAGCCCATCCCTAGCCTACGATTGTTTTGTCAAAGCTAAATTATTTTCTGGAATAATTATCACTTGATTGTGGTACAGCATATATAACATAGAATTTGCCCCTGTTGGACATTGTCAGGCATCGTGTGCCTGATGCCATCACCACCTTTCATCTCCAGAGGACCTTCATTATTCCGGACAGAAACTCTGTTCCTCTCACCCCACGAACTCCTCCATGCTCTCTTCTTAGTTACCAATTCTAGATACTTTGCATATAAGGAAAATTATCCAATATTTGGCTGAATGTGGAGCCTTTAATTCTAGTACCTGTGAGGTAGAGCTAGGCTTATTAGGAGTTAAAATTGTCCTGAGTTAGATAGAGACCAGCCTGGACTACATAATAACCTGCCTCAAAAAAAAAAATTGACCTTTTGTTCCTGACTCACTTAACACAATACTTTCTTTGTTCATCTACGTTGTAGAATGTGTCAGACTTTCTTTTTAGGGTCACATAATATTCCATTGCAAATATACACTATATTCAGTTACCCATTTGTTGTTGGTGGTACATTTGGCTGTTGTGGGTGATGCTGCCGTGGTCATTGGCATATGAGATCTGCTCAGATCGTCATCTTCAGGTCTTTGGGCTGTGTGTTGGTGCTGGAGAGCTTTAGTTGTCAACTTGACAGACCTGGGTTGATGGAGCCTCAATTGGGAAGTTGCCTCCATTGGACTGGCCTGTGGCCATGTCTGTGGGGTATTTTGATTGTTGAGTGATGTGGGAGGGCCCAGCTCACTGTGGGTCGTGCCACTCATGGGCAGGTGGGCCTGTGTTGTATAAGAAAGCAGGTTGAACACGTGCCAGGGGAGCAAGCCAGTAAGCAGTGTTCTTCCATGGTCTGTACTCCAGGTCCCTTCCCCGAGTTCCTGCTTTGGCTTTCCTTTGGTGGCCTGTGCTTGTAAGCCAAATAAACCCTTTCCTCCCCAAGTTAGTTTTGGTCAGTGTGTTTTGTCACAGCAATTGAAAGCAAACTAGAACAGGCTATATGCTTGGGAGTGCAGTTGCTAGGTTGTAGGCATTCTGTTTGGCTTTTTGAGGGACAGTCCAGCTGTTCTGCACAGCAGTGCACCCTTTTCTTCCCACCTTCTCACAGCTATGAGCCAGGGCCACGGTTTCCCCTCACCCTCAGCAGCACCTGCTGCCTTCCATTCTGTTCCTATGTTTTTTTAAAAAATATTCTATTTATTATTTTTTATTTTTATTTTATGTGTATGCGTGTATTGCCTGCATGTAGGTAACTGCAGCCATGTCATGCAATACCCGTGAAGGACAGAAGAGGCTGTCGGATCCCCTGGAACTGGAGTTTCAGACAGTTGTTAGCGGCCATGTGGGTGCTGGGATTCGAACCCGGCCTTCTGCAAGAACAGCCAGTGTTCTTAACCGCCGAGCCATCTCTCCAGCCCCTGTTTCCACATTTTTAATTTTGTTTTTGTTTCAGACAGGGTCTCACTATATAGCCTTGACTGAACTGTATAGACCATGCTGGCCTTGAACTCACAGAGATCTGCCTGCCTCTGCATCACCATGGCTGGTCCTTTGCTATGCTATTTAACCATTCATAGCCAGTTGCTCGTCCGGTGCAGCCTAGATTTTGAAATTATAATTCTGATTTATGTTTCTTGGTTTTGACTTGTAAACAAAATATGAACAGAGGAAAAGAGAGGCAGTGTCAGGCATCTTAATGCCAGTTGTAGTGGGGATGTGCCCATTGGGTTTAGACTAACACTATGGCCAGGCGCTTGGCAAGCAGCACATAGCATACTCTTCGGGCTTGGTGGCATCCACTGAAGGCCACTGAAGAGGCTGATTAGGTGAGAGCCCGCCAGTTTCAGACTGTGCCCTGCTCAGCCTCTCCCTCTCCTCCTCTTCCATCCTCACCTGAGCCCTCTTCCATTCCTCCTACTGTCTTCCAGTTTCTCCTCCCTTCCTGCCATTCTTCCAAGGCCCTGGTTTTGCCAGGACACAGTCCCGCCACCCCGCCTCCATAACTGAAGCACATCAGTGTTTTTAATCTTATAGTTTTGTACTCTCTCTGGTGGGTTGTTTTAGGAAACCCTGTATCTTAGCTACTACCTTTGTTTCTGTTGTTGTTTTATTTTTTTGTGGAGCAAAGGATCATAGAAGAGCAAATTGATATACCTTGATTGCACTGTCATGATTGTAAAAAATATCTGTATTCATTTTTATTGTGTGTATGAATGTAATGCCTTTATGTAAGTGCACCTGTATCATGCAATGCTCTCAATGGTCAGAAGAGGAGATTCCCCTGGAACTGAAGTTACGGACAGTTGTTAGCTGCCATGTGGGTGCTGGGAATCGAACCCAGGTTCTCTGCAAGAGCAACCAGTGCTCTTAGCCACTGAGCCATCTCTCCAGCCCCTGTCTTAATATTTTTTTGAATCCATAGTCCCCAAAGCACTCATGAAATAGGCTCTGTATTTAAGGTGAAGGTGCCACGGGGCACGGACACAGTGTGGTGCTTGGGAGGAAATCACTTAATGCCTTTAGGAATAATGATTTTCTTTCTGTGATAATTTGCTTGAGTTGCACATTTGAATTTCTAAGAAGGAAATTAATTTTTCTAACCTCCATTTTTTTAAGAGTCAATAGAATAGACATAAAAAGCACATTAAGGCCATTTCCAACTATTCTCTGACTACACGTCACAGCTAAGTAACCTGAAATAAGTGAACAGTGCCACGTCCATTAGAAATGTAAAAGTGAACCTAGGGTTTGGGTAGCAATTGGGGCAACCTCAGTTTTGCCTTCCATTGTGAAAAACGGTAAGGGGAGAAAACTAACAGACACATTTACGAACACGCATACATGTACGCATGCATACTCACACGCATGACAAGGAACACAGAGGGGAAATGTATTGGAAGAGATGCAGATTGAATATCTCTTACCCTAAATGCTTAAGTAGTGTTTCAGATTTCAGGGATTCCCCCCCAGACTTTGCTATCTGCATGCTATAAAACAAGGTACCTTTGGGGGTAGGGATTCAAATGTAAACATGAAATCCATCTGTGTTCTTATGTACCATATATACTTACCCCTGGAGTAAGTTTGTGTGATGTTTTTGGTGCACTTGTGTTTTGGCTACAAACTCACGCAAGGTCTGGTGTGGCACGTTCTGCTTCTCCTGCTGGTGTGTTGGGGCTTTTGCAGCATTTGGATTAGGGATGCTCGGCCTGAGTGAGCAGGTGAAGCATTTGTTGCCAAATTCCTTTCAAGGCAAAAGTAGGCACTTACATCTGGGTGTGAAGATGTTCTCATTTGCTTTCTGCTGCTGTGATAAACACTAAAACAAAAGGCCACTTGGGGAGGACATCATTTTATCGGTTACAGTCCATCATGGAGGGGAACCAAGGCAGGAACTTGAAGCGGAGACTGTGGAGGAATGCATCTTACTGGCTTGCTTCTGCCTGACTTGCTTCGCTACTTTTCTTATACAGCCCAGGCATGGTGCTGCCCATAGTGGACTTGACCCTCCTACATCAATTAGAAATCAAGAAAATGCCCTGTCACGTGCCCATAGGCCAGTCTGATGGAGAAAATTATTCAGTTGAGATTCCCTCTTCCCAGGTATGTGTAGGTTTGCATCAAGTTGACGGACAGTTGTTAGTTGCCATGTGAGTGCTGGGATTCGAACACGGGTCTTCTGCAAGAACAACTGGTGTTCTTAACCACTGAGCCATTCCTCTAGCCCCTCACCTTATCTTTTAAGACAGGGTCTCTCACTAAACTCCACCAGTTGGCTAGAGTGGCTGACCAACAAGCTCTGGGATAAATCTACCCCCCAAATGGACCGTGTCCAGGTTTTTTACGTGGGTGCTGGGGATCTGAACTCAGGTCCTCATGCTCACAAAGCAAGTACTTTACCAAGTGAACTATCTTCCCAGTCCCTATATGATTTTTACCCTCCTAGAACCATTAAGTCTTGTCTAAAGGGATTCCTCCCTGTTTTCACAGTGGTGAATTGGGCATTACTGGTCCTTTCCCCATGCATACTGGGAGCAGCTCTTCCAGGATCCCCTGCACATTACCCTCTAGGAAGCACCTGCTGAGGCCCATAGAAGCCAGTTGCTCTCCAGAGAGAAGGCTTGCCTCTGCTTCCCAGGTCGACTCAGGGGTCATTAACTTCTTTTCAGATTAGATTTGAGTTGAACCTGGGCCATTTGGAGTATTTTACTAACAAGTATTTTAGACTTAAGGATAAGGAATAATTTCCATTGAAAATCACACGAAGCTGGGCTTGATAAAGCACAGCTGTAACCAGGGCTTTTGACAGCCCCGCAATTTCTGCAAATGGCTCATAATTGATTGCCTTCTCTCTGTGTAA